TTGAAAATGGCATGGTCTAGACTGAAAATCTGCTGAAAGCCAGATTCTGCATCTCTGTTAGGGGATCGATACTCCTACTCCTTGAGTTGTTTGCTGAGGTTTCCTTCCTTCGATATCTCCTATGTTTGATGAAGTTTATCTCTGTTTCGGCGGCTTGTGAAAAAGAGTTATAACTTGTCCAGAAGTTAAGTTTAAATATGATCGCTTGAATTTGAAGTTTCTAGAATAAAATTCAGTTTTAAAGTACTATATTTGAGATTATATTTGCTGTATTTTCTGAAGTGGTTTTCCTGAATCTTTTAACTGAAACCCTTCTATGTTTCCGCTAAATTAAAATGGTCTTTGTGGCTCGCAATTTGGATCTTTGGTTTGATTGGGAACTTGCATCGAACATGACACTTTCACCACCCTAATGCTGTAATTTTAGGACCCAAAACATAAGACTAATCTTGTAATTTTCTTCTTCCTTGAACTGAACTCTTTGCTTATCAAGTTTCATTGTTTACCTTGCTGTCCATTAAAGGTGTGCACATGCTAGTCAACTTTAGGATAGTAAGTTGGGTCGGTTAGAGGTCAAGAGTCGAGACATGCCAGGTGAGTGTTTCCCACGTCACTTTTTCCATTTACTTTTCTATTTCTTTAAAATATTTATCTTTAGTTTACGTAAAATGCCTGTGGATATGAATGCGAGTGTGCCTGTGTGCCATTGCTGCGACTAGGTGAATTTGCGTGCGTATTATATGTGGGACTTTGGTCCATGATTCTGTGTGATATATAATATATATAGACTATGGCTTGTTGAATGGTCTGGCCAAGTCTCTACTTAGTGTTTTACGGACTATGGCTTGCTTAGTGGTCTGGCCAAGTCCCTACTTAGTGGCATTTGGACTTTAGCCTGCATAGTGGGCTGGCTAAGTCTGTACTTAATGTTTTAATATATTGGACTTTAGCTTGCTGTGTGGTCTGGCTAAGTCCATTAGTTGAGAATTATAGTTTGATGTATGGTCTAGCTAAATCTTCGCATAGAGAGACTATAGCTTGTTGAGTGGTCTGGCTAAGTCTCGATTGTTTGGTCTTCGCGCAAAGTCGTACTTGCTGCCTGAGAATTTTCTGTGCATGCGCATGATTTAATTTTCCTGTTTATATTGCTTGCCTGCATGTGATCCCCCGAGTGATGCATGTAAATATTTTCTTAAACTTGGGGACCTCACTGGGCTTAGCTCACCCCTTTAGAATAATTTTTACAGGTTAGCGGAAAAGGGCTACAGTTACTTTGATCACTAGCTAGCGAATCTTTTTGTAGTCTTTTAGATATCAATAATGTAATATAGATTTCTGTTTAGTTTTATATAGAACTTCTGATTTTGTCTTGTATATAATTTAATTATTTCGAAGTGTAATCTATTTATTCATTCAGTAATTATAGTGTGAGATCTAGCGTGAGCGGGACAAACGTTTTCCAAATTACCTTAATCATTATCAAGTTGGCTAGTGAATTTTTGGGGACGTCACATAAACACTATGGCTTAATAGACTGAGCAAGTTGTGTCATTAATTTTCTTCCCACGCAAATTAAAGGAAATGCTAGGTCTTTAAGGAAATGCTAGGTCTTTCTGGTCCCAATTATAAAGTATTCCCTCTGTCCCATAATTATTGTTCATTTTGTCCAAAAAATTTTGTCCTAAAATTATTGTTCAATTTGACTTTTATGGATTAAGTTATACATTTGTCCTTAGTAAAACATATTATCCATAAAATCTTAGTGGTTAAACAATTACTTATGTAGGGGTATATCCGGTTGTTTAAGGTAAAATATAATTAAGTTTGACAAAAAATAAAATCTTTCATTTTAATAAAACTGGACAATAATTATGGGATGGAGGGAATATAAATTAACAATAAATTTAGTTTAATTTGTATTTTATAATTAGGACTAGAAGGCTTAGGGAAATGGGCCTGGGAAGGGAAACATCATATTTGTACCTACCCTTAAAACATGAAATATGGTTGTGAATCCGTCAGTAAATGAGGAACATCAATGTAATAATAATGACAGATGAAGTCATGCACTTGTCCCTAGATATTTATTTTATTTTTTTAGTAGGTGATGAGTTTGGGTAAATAATTAGGAGTATTTTAGTACACTTAGTGGGTAAGTGTAATACACTCTCTTTGTATGAAAGTGGGTTTTCTTTCCTCTCAAATTTCAGCTACATGTGCATTTAATGCTCCAACTTTTATCCATTTTTTTTTCACACATATGTAGTTTCAAATTGTTTTTTTTTTTTTATCTTATCATGTTAGTTTTTATATTGTTTTATTTTATGAGAAATATTTTTTATGACGATTTATTTTATTAGGATATCATTTTAGTATTGTGCAATTCAACTGAATAAGATTTTCTGCTCTATTTAAATCTTGATGAATAATGATCTCATCCTACAAGAATAACAATACTAAAATGAAGAATATATGTGGTTTTGTTAGATGAATAATTGTAATTTAATGAATGAATGAGATAAAATTATTGGACGAATAATGCGAAACAGAATGAATAATTTTGATCAATAAATTTTAAAAAAGTATATTTTACAATGAGTTAATGTGAGCAACTAAACTAATAAATTTCTAATTACAACTGAAGAAAAAAAGTAGTCATTCGTTTTAACATATAAGGTCTTAAAGGAATCGCCGATACTCAATACGTCTTTGTTGATTATTTGATTTCAGCATTTCTGTCAAATATTTGATTCTCAACCGATCGAGTTCATGTTGATGAACATTTATCTGATACTGATCAAACAAAAAAAAAACATTACAATATGTGATATTTTACATTCCATCAAAACTCTTTTTTAACTAAAATATTGATTAATTGGTAATGGATGAATAAAAGAATTAGCTCAATGATACTGATAAATAACCATACAATTAAAGATACTGATGAATGAACTCACTTATACTCAATGGATAAATACATGAATGAGCTAACTGATACTGATGAATAATGGTTCTCTTTACAACAGAAGAAACAAATTGATGAACAACAATATTAAAACTCAGGATTATAAAACCCATATTTCCAACTAACAACATGATGAATAACCATATACAACAGATGAATAACCATACACAATGGATGAATAACGAAATTGATGAACAACAACAACATTAAAACCCAAAATTATGAAACTCAGATTTCCAACAACAACAATATGATGAATAATCATATACATAACGGATGAATAACCAAATTGATGAATAACAACAACATTATTACGAGTAACACACTATTATTGATGAATAATCACACTGAAACTGGTGAATAAACTCATTTTAAGATCCAAAAACAAATGAAAGAAAAAGAACATTATAATTATTGAATCTACAGTGATTAGATCTATGAAACCCAACAACAAAAACAAAAGTTGAAGAGATTATTAGGAAATACTTGTGCCCATCTAGGTTTTCGATGTGCTTCTCTTCGAAAAAAAAAATTGATTTTTCCATCTCTCTACATGATGAATAACAGATTAAAACTCAGGATTATAAAACTCAGATTTCCAACCAACAACATGATGAATAACCATATACAACAGATAAATAACCATACACAACGGATGAATAACCAAATTGATGAACAACAATAAAATTAAATCTCAGAATTATAAAATCCAGATTTCCAACCAACAACAACATGATGAATAATCATATACAATGGATGAATAATCATACAGAACGGATGAATAACCATACACAAACGGATGAATAACCAAATTGATGAACAACATTATTACGATAATCACACTGAAACTGGTGAATAAACCCATTTTAAGATCCAAAAATAAGTGAAAGAAAAAAAAATCATAATTATTGAATGTACAGTGCTTAGATCTATGAAAACCAACAATAAAAACAAAAGTTGAAGAGATTATTAGGAAATACCTCTGCCCTCTGAATTCATAAATCTTTTGGCAATTCACCAAATCTGAATCCATAAACCTCTGACGATTCATTAAGGAAGATCTGAAACAAACCCACAAATAAAAACCCATTAATTCATCAAAGAAGATCTTACACAAATCCACAAAGAGAAACCCACAAAAACAGATGAATAAGACGATTTATTACCTTAATCCTCGCTTTAATTTGTATCTACTTGATTATAAAATCCAGATTTTTGATGCACAAGGTTGATTCCAAGAGCGTAGCTGCCGAGAGAATTTTGCTTTTGCTTGAGCGGTTATAAAAGCAGAAAAATGAGAAAAAAAAAAATAAGATAATTGAGTATTGATATTTTTGTTATGGGGATTTGAAAATTAAAAAATCCAAAAAAAGCAGCTATTATAGGGGGTGTGTTGGAGCGTGAAAGACACGCTAGATATATTTAGAAAAGTGTATCTAAGTGCTCTTTATTATAACTGTTCACATCCCTTATATATTGCTTAATTGATCAATGCATTAATATTATAATAGCTAGGTTTTTTTCCCTCCCTTATATATTGCTTAATTGATCAATGCATTAATATTATAATAGCTAGGTTTTTTTCCCTCCATCATTGCCACTTGCTGGCATGGTTTTTTTTTTTTTATTATTATTTTTTTTATCCTTGCTCTCTATAAGGCCGCTCGTAACCCTAACTAAGAGGGTTTTGTAGTAGATTATGCATATTGTAAAGGGGGTTGAGTTGATAATAATCATTATGATTATAATAAATTCCAATCTTTTCTTTATATCATTACCATAATAATTATAACCATAATGATAATGAGTCTCTAATCATTAAAAAATTCAATTCGATTCACGTTGTCTTGGAAAATAAGTATTAAATTTAACCATAATTAAGTATTAGTATTAAATAAGATAAAAAAATTATTAAAGTTTAATTAATTTATCTCTTATAACATTAACGCGTCCTAATAAAAAAAAAAGGAATGAAGGTCTTTGTAAGAGATAAACAGTAAAAAAAACATATATTGAGAAATTGAAAATAATTATGTGGAGGAAAAAAATAGTTGAGAACAAGAAAAAATCAAAAAAGAAACCGAGATAATATTGAAAAATGAAATAATTATTACAAATTTTTAAGTAATAAAACTTCAAAGAGAGGTCATTAAATTATTTTTTTTAAAAAAAGGTGAAGACTATGCATCCAATAGAAAAATGAATTAAACACTATTTTTTTTTTCAAACAAAAAATTTTTTTTATTAAAAATAAGGGGAAAAAAATAAGGGAACGAATATACTAAATCCTATATCAAATATAATTTTGATCTTAAAGTAAAGTTGAATCCCTATTCAATCTAACAGACCGACGAACTTGAACTTTCTTTTTAGTTTTGGCTTTTTTCAAATGATTGTGATATGTTGGAGCAGAAACTTCACTGTAAAAGGACTCTTGTTCTATCGCATACTCCATATCAAAACCGTCATCATCAGAACCATTGGAAGCATGATTTAGTCCACCTTCAGAATTTATTTCTTCAATCGAATAATTTGAGTTAAAAGTCTCAGTATTCTTCCCTATCTCCTTATCATCCTTGGACAAATACGTTTTTGAGGCCGTAATTGGCAGTAAAACCTCTAGAAGAGGAATTTACGGCTGATGAGAGATGGTAAATTCTGGAGCCTCAGGATTTACTTTTCACTGGAGCTCTTACTGGAGAAATTGTTGAAGAGATTCCTTCCTTATTTGAGGATTGTGGAGAGTTTGACTTCAACTTTTCTTCTCTTGAAACTGAACCAACCGGATTAGATTTGGAGAGAGAATCACGGCATTTTTCCACGTTCAAAATTGAAAATTCGGGTCTGAAGGAGTCGATTGCGCTGAAGTCGCAGAAGCCGCGGTGTTCTGTTTCAGCCGCGAAGTCAAGGGGATTTCCAACGGCCGGATTTCCTCTTCTGATGATGCAGCTATTCCTTCACTGCCAGCAGCAACCTTCAAAATTGCGGAAGACTGATGCTGTATCTCAGCAGCAACTACAGGGATGATGTTGGCAGCAAGTGGTTGGTGCGCAGTTAGGGTTTGGAGCGCAGCCGGGGATGATTCAGTAGCAACGTCTTCAACAGACATTGGAGGCGCAACTTCAACCATCAAACCATCCATAGCAGGCTAAATGGTCTCTTCCGAGCCTCTTTGTTCAAGTGAATATGCATTGCTAGCATGTTCAATCCTCGGAAGCGCTGACTTATGAGTATGTTGCGCTTTGATTAGATTTGGCAAATCCTGGGGGTGTTTTTGTCCCTCAATTGTCACCGGAGGTTGTTGCCGATCTTCCTCAATTATTGGCAGTGGATCACCATCAACGGCAGTAGAACGAGCAACAAATTGCTGATCAGAAACATGAATCGACACTTGGATTGATTTCGGCGTACTTGCTGCTCTTTCCTTTGGTTGCTGCTTCGATTGCTGGTTTGTGGGTTCCAACAGTAGAACATGAGCCTCAGTGCCGCTTTCTTCCACAGCCGTCGTTTGCAGCCCTAACAGAAGATGTGGCGCAGATGATGATTGATCCTTGATTGGTGGCTTTCTCGTTGGCTGTGATGCTTATTTTCCTTTTTCCGGCTGATCAGGTTGGAGTTTTGGAGGCTAGTGCGAAACCACCTTGTGCGATGATGCTGCATTGGTGTTGTGTCAACAGGATAGAACATCATGACCAATCTTTTTGCAATCGACACAATATTGCGGCATATTTTCATAGAAGATTGGTTGAAAGTACGACTTTCCTTCAACTCCTAGTCTAATGCGAATGGGATGCTCTTCTAGGAGATCAATCTCAACACATACACGAGCCACCGAAGCTCGCGACATATTGAGAGTTGGCATATCGATTTGAAGAGGAGTCCCTATGATGCTAGCAAGTTTCCCCAAGTAGTCCTTGTTGAAGCGGTGAATGAGTAGACCTTCAAAGGAGATCCAAACTGGAACTATGGGACTTTCATGTGCTGAGTTAAAGTTAGTAGTCCATTTCAAGACTCGCATATGATGCTTGTCAAAGGTCCACAATCCTTTCAGCCAGCAGATATAAAAGTCTACTTCAAGATCAAAACATATGAGAACATGCCGATAATCAATTCATCCAATGGAAAAGTTCCCTTTAAAACCAATGATTTAGAATTCTCTTCTCAGAAAATTCATTTTTGGCCTACCTTTGGTGAATTTTCCGACTAGGGCGAGTCGAAATGGGGCTGCCAATTGTTCATCTTCTTCTTTTGTAAGAAGAAAAGTTGGCTCATCTTTGAATAAAGTTGGTTCTGAATGAATCACAGGAGGGCTTAGAATTTGGTGTTTTGTGGAATTTTTTTGAATTGTTTTTGGATTTGAATTAGAGGCTAAAATCTGAGCAAATGAAGGTCGCGGAGGCGGTGTTAGGCCTATGGCTGGCGGCGGATCGCCGGCCATGGGAGGGAGGGTAGAGAGATGTCAGAGAGAAAGTAGAGAGAAGGTTGACTCGGATATAGTTTTCCAATTTACTTGGTCTATTGTAACTATATTATAAGAATTATATGAATTAAACACTATATTATAAGAAAAATATACGAACAAACTTCTAAAGAAAGATTCCAAAAGGTATATAGAGAGATAGAAAATAAAAAAGTTACGAAAAGAAATAACGAGAAAATTTTCTATTACAATGAGAGTTTAAAAGATATGACACGGATAGAAATATTTAGAAAATTATTATGAAAAATTAAGATAATATGTTTAAAAGATATAAAACCATAAATCAACAAAACGAAAAAGATGAACAATAAATTACATTAGATGATTTCAAATATTGAAAATCATTCTGAATATGCTAAAAATAACAAAGCACACTGACATTAAAAATTACACAATTATAATTTATATTGTTAATATTATTTTTTCACACATATCAGTCTGTGAGAAATGTTATATAATTGTTAAATCATTAAGCTCATATATATTTTTAATAACCACCACAATGTGCAGGGTAAACATTAATATATATTATAAAATATCTTGAGCCTAGAACTTGAGATTTATTTACTATTCGATTAGTTGATTATCATTTTGATGAATCAGTCTTTCAAACATTAGGGGAAGCTAAAAAACCAAATACAAAAACAAGTTGGAATGATTTTTCATTATTTCATCTTGATCCTCGTACATGGCAATAAGGACTTGAAATTCAAAAGATAATTCATTTACAATGTTTAACAAATCAATGTGAGATGCTTTTATTGACCTAAAATGTGACAAAATCACACGTGCAGCTGCTAATGATCCAATTAGAATTGATGCCTCTGAAAGATCTTCTACCATGAACAATGAAATAAAGGCTGGTAGACAACTGTTTAAAATCCCGATCTCGACTGGCCGGTCGGACCTGTTTGACCGTGAACCGAAATGATGACGGGTTCGTTTTTACTATAAAACTAGACAAGAACTAACTTGGTCAAAACTCAGTCAAACCCACGGTCCAACCATGAACTAAACTTACCCGATTAATCCGGGTTTTGTCTTTTTCCCTCTTTTTTTTGACTTTTCTCCTACATTGAATCCCGTTTTATTTTTTTTTTCTTGATGAATTGACCCCTACATTATATTTTTAGTTACTAAAGACACTAAATTTAATATTTTATCAATAATATTTAAATTTTGATTTCTAAAATACATCATTTCATTTCAAGTTATAAAAATTCCATTCTTGTTTAATTAATTAAATAGTATAATTAAGATCATCTATTTAGAGTGAATTTATCTTTTTCGGGTAAAAATGTACATATTTCGTATTAAATTCAGCAGTTTAGCACATATTTACAACCAAAAGATCTTAACTATACACCAAACTATTATCATTTTCATTTCTGACCACTAAAGGAACTGGTCCAAAATTAGTGCTTTAGCCCTAGTGATTTGCCTGGTTCTGCATCCCGTAAGCCTCCATTCAGTTTCTTACTTTATTGTTTCTAGTATAGTTCGAAGACCCTTTTCCTTCTGGGAAAAAATATGCATCTTCTTTTCCTTCCAGATGTGATACGACACTGCAGCCAAAACTTAATCATTAAATCATTACCGACTTCAACTTTTGAGAAACTAACCCACAAGATTAGAATGCAATGACTAAATGTTAAGTGATGTGTTCAACATGGGAATAATTACACACTGTACTCTTTTAGATAATTTAATTACTATGTTTACATTCCTTGAGTAATTGAAACAAAAAATATTAAAATTTACATTCCGTGCATATCAACACACAAAAGCAATTTATTTTATTTAACTTTCCTCAAAATCAAAATTCAAGGAATGACATATTTACATTCTTTTACTTTCCCAACAACAACCATATAGGCCTTAAATTTAATCATGTATTGGCTGGTTGCAATTTTGAGAGAGAGAGAGGTTGGCTACACTAAAAAAGTGCATACATATACCTGCTGCACATTAGATTTTTTCCTTCATTTGATTAACTAAAAATAAAAAAAAAAATTGTATCTTACTCAATGTGGATTAATTTTATGCGAATGAATATATAAAAAACACTACTACTTCGGATGCTCTCATAAACTATTTAGATAGTGTTGTTTGTTAGGATATATAATCCGGAGAAGAGGAGTTTAAAATTGGATTGATATATAAAAAAAAAACACAAGATTTAGATGGTTTAAGAAAATATCAAAACATCCTTAAATCGAAGTCAATTATCAAAAGGGTCCTATGACGACTGAAAATAAATGTTTCCACATGAACTCCACCAAAAAAATATCCAAAAATATTTTTCACCCCATAAAAACTCTCTTGAAATTTATTCTAAACTCTAATAAAATAAAATATTTAACTTCTCAATCCAAAATTCAGCTTTTTACGAGCTCTCGAAAGATGAGGATAATTTTTGAAAAAAAATTGAGGATAATTTTTCTTCGGGTTACAAACGTATGTTTTAGGGGTGTTCACGGACCAGATTGGCCCGGATTACCATTAATTCGTAACCAAACTGTTACTTATGGTTTTTTAAATTTTGAACATCAAAACCAGACCGGATTGAAATTTAAACCGGACCAATATAAACTATATTGAACGGTTTAGTTTGGACGGTTTGACGGTTTTGTTCTCTAATTGTGATCTTTTCATTTTGGGCCATAAATTGAGCGTTTTTAGTTATTGGGCCTTTTTCTGGCTTTTTTGGGGCTTTTTATGGCCTTTTTCCTGGGGCTTTTTATGCATAGGTTTTTGGTTTGAGAGAGAAAAAATAGGTAAATAATAAAAGGAGTTGTTTCGGATTTGAACACATGACCTTTAGTTAGAATTGAAGCAGTTAGAATAGTATTACCACAGTGATTACGAGGCATTTGTGATATAGGTTTTCATCTCTTACTATGTATAAGTAAACTAATATTATAAAAATTATTATATATATATATATATATAGTCCGGTCCGGTTTGACATACGATTTTTCAGCGCAATCGTTATGAACGGTTTTCAGTTTTCAAATCCGCCGGTTTAAAAATTTAATTATAAACCGCTCACCAATTCGAACCAATGACAAGTTTAGGCAGATTCACCAGTTTGATCCAAACTGTGAATACCCCAAGTATGTTTGACACTTTTTTTGACTGAATAATATACATACGTCAATTTTCAGTCGCCAAAAGACCTTTTAGGTAAATGTAACGGATGTTTTTTTTTATATATTTTCAAATAGTAAGGGTATTTATAATAAGTTAAACTTGTGAGGTGTTTTTGATATTAAAAGTCCATGGAGAGGTTCAAAATTTGAAAATTCTAATTTAATTGGATGTGAGGGATTGTTGTAATTTATCCAAGGATTTTTTTTTGTGTTTTTTTTTTTGTTTTGTGTGTGTGTGTGTGTGTGTTTTTTTTTTTTTTTTTCTTTCTGAAACGAGAAGATTCTATTGGCCCGAGTTTCTACTACTTTTTCTAGACTCTTAGAGTCACACATTATAATTTTTTTTTTTTTAAAAAAGTTAGAATTGAAAAATATAAAGAGTCCAAGTTTGAGATTGGACTTTCCTTCCCAACTATTACCAAAATAATCTAGAACCCTAATTTAAAAATTATCTCTATCAAATAATTTGCTGTTTCCGTAGAAGTCCACGCAGAAGAACGACAGAAGCTTTTATGGATTTGAGATGCAAATTCCCTTCTCAATCGTCATCCTCCCTGGCTCTAACCGTCTACCCACCAATTTTGAGACTTCTGATATCGACGCCGCCGTCCGATCAATTAGCAACTTGGATTCGGGACTTTCGTGTTACTGAAATTCCATAGTGTTATTCAGTTTATTGCCATAATAATAGGACTAAAGCAGGTACTTGGTTTTTTGTTTGTTTTTTTTTTTCTTCTTTTTGTGGAAAGCGTTGGAATGTTGAAACTCCGTTTTAATATTTTAGGTGCTTATTTGATTTACCGAAATTTATGTGATGAACATATCCTTACTTGATGTTAATATTTGTGTTTCATTTTTTTTTGGACGCCATTGGTTTTTTTAAATTGTCAGTGAGCTGAGAATTTAAAATGGCGATCATTATTGGAAGCTTTATTTACTTTAAAGTTATGCCTTTTTCTACCAAAAAACAAAAAAAGTTATGCCTTTCTTTAGTTAAGTTTAACTCAGTTGTCAGACGAATGTTTTATGACGGCGACCTTTGCTAATTTTTTTCCCCCTTTTTTTCCCCTTCTCTTTTAAGTCGTTTTTAAGTTATAGGAAAGTTATGTATGAGGTTTATCACTTGATTTATTAGTTTCTCAGTGATTGATTGACCATTTTTTGGAGGTCTTAGATCCTCTCTTCATTACTGTTTATGTTTTTTGCTTTTGTTTGGCTTATGGAAATGTTGCATTAGCGTATTTCATGTACTGATTCGTGCTTTTTGATTGGTGAAATTTGATTTTTTTCCCCCTTTTTTTTGGTTAATAGATTTGGCTTTTATTTTTTTATTTTTATAATTTATGAAAATGCTGCATTATGCTTTCTAAATCAATTTTCTGAAGAATGAATATGCCGCCAGAATTATTGACTAGAGTCGATTTTTTTTTTTTTTTTTTCGTTTTGTTTAGAGTACCTGATCATTTTGGACAGTCAGGTACTTCCGCGTGAGGAAAGTTCAGGGGAGGCAAGAAAAACGTGGTTAGGAGGGCGGAAAGGGTGTTGCTGCTGTGTTCTGTTGTGATGGTTTTCTGTTTACTTTAAGATGGCTAGTCCTGCAAAATCACGGCCTCTAGACATGAAGAGTTCTTGGAAGAAGGGGAAGATATCAGGTTGGACTGCCTTTGACCGTGAAAAGCGGCATAATGATGGTGGCGAATCAGAAGCAGAAACTGAAAGTTTTCCATCTCTATCAAGTTCTGTGGAGCAGATTCAGAACTTTCTTGGAAACGCCAATGGTAGAATTGTATTGGAGAAGCCTTTTACGTCTGTGTTACGAGGTCCTGTAAACGTTTTTGCTTCGGGGACCAACCAATACGAAATGAAGCGAGAGACTCCACAAGTTGGCAGTTCCAATATGTCTGGGAATGTAAATAATGGTGTTACAGATGTTACAATTGCATATGATATGCTTAAGAAGAACCATTCTTGGGCTGACCAAAGCCTAATCGAGGATGTTTTAGCTGGTTTGAACTATGATGTTGATGAAGCGTCAACTTTGTTGGCCTCTATGGTTTCCTCTGAAAATAATAGCGAGGAGAATCCACTTAATGCAAATAAAGAATTGACATCTAATAATGGCAACGAGTTTCTCTTACATGAATCATCAGCTGACCAGCATGTTCATCTTTCTGCACCAAACTGTCTTGTTGAGGATCTTAATGTTGATCACAGAGAATATCAAGATGAACAGGTTTCCTTTGAGAAAATATATGTGCATGATGACTTGAACTCAGAAAATAGTCGGATCGGCATCAAGTATCTACCTATTGAGCCTGAGTGGGAAGAAGATGATATCTACTTGGTCTACCGAAAAGATGCACTACGATCGATGAGGTATGTCTACACGGAAGGGATGACAAGAACATCTTCCTTTTGTATTGTTAACTTGATCATTTTTTATTTACCTGCAATGGGTTTAAGTATTCTTAATTTACTTGATAGACTACTATTGAACATAACCAGAAACTAAATTGAGAGTGCATGTTCATTTCAACTGGCAAGACTGACTGGTTGCACTTATTATTCCTGTCATCTGTTCTCTTGCATGTAGTAGCGCCTCAGGCATGACACTACTACTCACCAAAAAAGATTAGAGGGAAGGGGGTGGGGAAGTGAAACTTCTTACTTTTGGTTCTGCCTTAAATTTCTCTCAACAAAGTAGCGACCTATTCATGACATTATGCTATTATCATCTAGGTAGTAGGATGCTCTGGAAGATTCTAAACTGTACAAATTTTTAACGTTATTGTTTGCTTGTCAGATTCGCCTTTAGTTGTTTATCTTCTTTCAAGATTACCATTATGCCTTTCCTCCATCGGGAAGTGCTTTTAGTTTTATGTAGTGCTTTACTTTCCACAGTTCTTACTGGCAATAGATCTGTCCCCTTCATGGCCCTGCATGTACATGATATTCTTTTGTGATAACCTTCCTCACAAGCACTTCCATATTTTTGTTCCTTACACAGGTCAGCATCTCAACACTCTAAGGCTGCCCGAGATGCATATATAAGAGGAGATCATTTATCTGCACAACTGTTTTCGCAGAAAGCTCGGGAAGAGTGGTTACTTGCTGAAAAATTAAATGCTAATGCAGCCAAGGAAATTTTGGCCATCAGGAATTTTAATAATGATGAGTGGACATTGGACCTTCATGGTCTTCATGCATCAGAAGCTGTAAAAGCCTTACAGGCTCATTTGCAGAAGATTGAATCTCGTCTTCCTGCGAAGCCAATGCCACCTTTTAATGTGATGTCAGAATCTGTATATTCCGCATCTCCTGAATTGGCTACCTGTAGCGATTCAGCAAAGTTGGGCAACCGAATTTCTTATCTCGGACCCAGACCAACATCATTACACGTCATAACAGGTACAATGGCTCCTTCGCAGCTTCAGTGAGTCTTCTTTTACCGTTTTATTTTTTTGCTTTCATTTATGTGATGATCATTCTTGCACTGCTGGTGCACCTGGATATCGTCAAAATATAAGTAGTTGGAGAAATTATCTAGTGATACTCTAATGTGACATGCATTTACTATTTTTGAAGGAAAAGGTAATCATAGCCGAGGTGAAGCTGCAATACCTGCCGCCATTAGAAGCTTTCTCATTGAACATGGGTATGTGTTCATATCTTTCACAGAATTGAGGGGTTGTTTTTGGGCATTCTTGATTTGGATGTACTTGTGAAATATTTGAATTTAAGCAGGGAACGTTTACCATTTGGCTAGCATAAACCAGTTGCATAAGGTTTACGATCTAAACTTCTGTTTCTTTGCAGGTATCGTTACGATGAAGCAAGACCTGGAGTAATTGAAGTAATGCCGAAGTTCCGACGGTAGAGTGTTGTATAATGTATTGTGTTGTAAAATAGTACTTCTTCTGTCTCAAAAAGAATAGTTTGCTTTGTTGAACTAAAATAGTAAAACAAAGTGGACTAATTTTTTTGAACCGAGAGAGTTTCTTCCAATTTTTACATTTTTCTTCCCGGATATCTGCACTCCTGTCTAGAATTGTTCACGAACTGATGGGAGAAATTGTCTTATAGGGGCCAATTAGGCTTGTCAACTGTTGCATTATTAATGTAGTAATGAATGGGGTTATTATGTAATTTATTCCCGATTAACTTTTCCCAATATTGTAATTGATCAATAGGCCTTGTCTAATAAAGTTGTCTTCCCTAGATTGCTTTTGCAAATGTTTTTTTAGGTGAACAAGGTGGTACCTGGTGAGCATCTTCCAATTTTATTAATAAAAAAAAAAAATTTACAAAGACAGTGTGTAAAACTTTTATTAATAAAAAGAAAAAGTTACAAAAGTAGTGTTTAAGACTTACCCAATTCAAAAGAGATTGTCTTACAGAAAGTTTTTCTAAAAAACTCTATGACGATTCTCTAACAAAGTATGTCTATGAACTGACTTACAAAGATAGTAAACTATCCCTTGCCAGTTCTTAATGCAAAAGTAAAAAACTATTCTAAAAGCATCTCTTACAAAGATTTTACACATAAATCCCATGACATTTCTTTCTTACCCCTAACAAAATATTCAACTATCTAATTCTTATATATGGAAAATTATTCCTATCTAAAAAAATCTTACCTCTCAAAGATGTAGGGAGAGTCTTCTGAGAATGATAACACAACGTACTTCCCAAAAAGGCCTCTTTTACTAGTTCATCCGCAACACTATTTGCCTCACGATAAATATGGTCTATTTGCGCATTTGTGGTGCACATCATTTGCTGAATTTTCCGCAACCTTGTACATTGCTTCCAAGGATAATTTTTGTCTTTTTGAAGCTGAGTTACAATGCTTGAGTTAGATTGAATTAGCACATGATGAAGTCCTTTTAGCTCACATGTTTTGAGTCCATGATAAATTCCTGCTAGCTCAGTCTAAAAACTTGTAGCAATGCCCATGTAACTGCATTCAGCAAAAATAAAATAACCTCGTTCTCCTCTTACAACATATCCCCATCCTGCATGTCTAGGTTGTCCAAAAGCCGATCTATCTGAATTGGGTATAACTTGTCCTGTATCAGGAGGGCGCCATCTCAATATCCTTGTTCTCTTGATTTTTGGCTTCTAAACCTTCACTCGAAACAAGTCCCCTATTTCTTTGTGCTCTTCCAAAGTCATTGCCTGCAAGTCATGCACACTCAACATATTCGAAACAGTAGACAAAACTTCTTTTTTCAAAAAATTCAAAGAGAAACTAACGCCATCATAGATGATTTTATTATGCATTTTCCAAATTTCCCATAGGAGGAAAATTGGAGTAACCATTAGTATGGATTTTTTTGCGGAGGTGAAGCTGCCCATCTTGTGCCATGTTTGTAAATTAGTCCACCATCTTGCATTTTTCGGAATCAAAAGACCAAAGAGTGAAGCAAAATATTTCTATGCTGAAGTTATATGCTCACTTGCATAAAAATATGATCTATTGTATCTTCAGCTGCTTGACCGAAAGGGCATCTTGAAGGGTTCATGACAAAACCCATTTTTTGCAAGGTTTTAGAAAAAAGGAAGTAAACGATTAAAAAGCTTCATTGCAAAAATAGAAATTTTTAAAGGGATAAACTTATTCCAAAGATTTTTAAGGGGAGCAAATTCTTCTCTGTGTGGGAAAGCTTCCTCATATGCTGAGGCAATGGAAAAAGATCCCGTTGAGGTTGATTTCCACACCAATCTGTCCGGTTCATCCAAAAAGGTTAGCTCTAATCTCCGTAGTTGATCCACTCGTTACTCCCCAAGTAAACCTGCAAAAACAGTTAAGAAAAAATCTTTTGAAAGGAAAAAATCTTTTAGAGTTAAGTTCGACGCTGGAGGATCTCCAGGGTCATTCCCTAGTACTCTAGAATCCAGCCACTTAGTATGCCAAAAAGGAGAGGAACCATCACAAATGACCAGAATACTATTCGAGAACGCAAGATGATCAACCATTCCGATTCTAGATCAGCTAGTCTTATCCTTCATTGTCGCCGAGAGCGAACAAACAAACTTAGACCAGATTCCCTGATTAGTCTTTAACTTCCACCATAGTTTCACGGAAAAGGCCTTAATAACATCAATCAAATTCCGAATACCTAATCTATTTTCAGCAATCGGGAAAGTCAATTTTCGCCATGATCGCCAATGATGCTTATTTCCAGATTCCGTTTCCCCCCCAACGAAAGTGTTGACATTTGCTCTCAATATTCTCAATAATAGATTTTGGGGGAGCAATAGTAGCTATAGTGTGAATTGGGATAGCTGATAGCACATGTTTTATAAGTAAGAGCCTTCCTCCTTGCGAGAGAAAAATATTTTTCCAACTCGACAACTTTGCATCAATAACATCCAGAAGATGATGGAAATATTCTCCTTTCTTCCTTCCTTTAAATAACTTACACCCTAAATACAGAAAGGGAAAAACACCCCTTTGTATTTGTAATGTCTCCTCAATCATGGCAATATGTGCTTCTCCACTTTTTTCAGACACTATATAGGTACTTTTTTGCTTATTCATTTTCTGCCCGGTTGCATCCTCATAGTCTTGAAAGAAAATCATCAATTGTTCCATTGAGCGCTTCAAGCCTTTTGTGAAGATGATAAGGTCGTTCGCAAGGCATAAATGAGAGGGTATGGCTGTTCTATCTGGCATTCCATACAAAGCTATTCTTCCCTCTTCTGTTAGCTTCTTCATTTTTCTCGTTAAAGCTTTAGACAAAAGAATGAAAAGATATGGCGATAGAGGATCTCCCTGCTTTATGCCCCGAGAAGCTTGGAAAAAACCAATGGGACTTCAATTAATGAGTATAGAGAACCAACTTCTGATTAGATTGCTCATCACCAGATTAACAAAATTCTGATGAAAACCAAATCTCAATAAAAGATTCCACAAGAAACTCCATGAGACTTTGTCGAACGCCTTCATCATATCTATTTTCAGGATTAGATTACCCCCTCGTGCTTTTTGATTAAGGAACTGAATAAGGTCTTAGTGAAGAGGATATTATCCACAATATCACGGCCCTCTAAGAATGCTGAGTGCTCCTCGGAGATCAATCTTGGAAGGACATTCTTCATTCTTTCAGTGAGAATCTCCATGAAGACCTTGTTAATGAAATTCCACAAACTAATCGGCTTGAAATTCGCAAACGATGTTGTTGTTGACTATTTAGGGATCAGGGTTATGATTGTGTTGCTAATCGCCCTTGGCATGAGAGTTCCAATAGTGTCAATAGACCAAACTCCAAAATCTATCTATTCCCGGCGCACTTTCTGGATCAAGACTGAAAACAGCTTCTTTGACCTCTTCCTCCGTCACTTGCTGCAATAAACACACATTATCCTCATCCTCCAAAAGTGTGGGAATCTTCAATAAGATCTTCCTGGTAGCATCTTCATGATTTTCTGATTTTTCCTCCGTGAGAAGATTTTTGAAAAACCAAACCACTTCTTGCTCAATCTCTTTTCTCTCCGAGGTCCACGAACCATCATGCTTTCTGATTTTGTGAATACGCAGCCTAGCTTTCTTTTCAATCAAAGAAGCAAAAAAATACTTTGTATTGGAATCACCATCCTTTAGCCATTTCAATTTAGACTTTTGTTACAAAAAGTCTTCATGTTCGCCCAGCCTAAGAAGTAAAAGAGCTTGCAACCGTTTTAGCTCCATCCTAGCAGAATCAGTACCATGTTGATCAAACTCAATCTCTTTCTCGCGGACAGCTTCCTCCATATTTTTTAAGTTCTGAAAAACGTCTCCAAAATCCACTTTATTCCATTCTTTTAAACGCATCTTTAACCTTCGAAGCTTTATAGAAAATCGTAGCATACCAGTTTCGGCCACCGACGTCTTCCAATTCTCTTTTACTATGTCCAGGAAACTATCTCTTCTCGCCAACATTCGCTGAAACCGAAATATACCCGGCCTTGTGTCAATATCCGCTTTGAAGTGATGCAATAAGGGAGCATGATCCGACAATGTTCTACTTAAGTGATGTACCGAAGATTCTGGAAACGTTTGAATCCATTCCTAATTGAATAAAATGCGATCAAGTTTTTTAAGAACTCGGCCATTTTGTCTATTCCCAGCCCAAGTGAAAGGATTACCCAAAGGAGTGAGCTCAATAAGACCGCACCCATTAATCCAAGAGTTGAAGCATCCATTGAACCATAATCCGGTTGCGAGTTTCCCTCATACTCTTCCAAGCTTCTGATTACATTATAGTCCCCTCCAACCATCCACGGACAGTCCCCAATCTGATCGGCAAAGAGTTGCAATTTTGACCATAGCACTTGGCGTTCATTTCTTGTGGATTTCGCATACACAGCCGAGACTAATACCTTTCTAGCAGTCTTAGAACTTTCCACCTCAAAATGTAGCACTTGCTCTGAACCTCCCAGAAGTTTGGCTGACCATTCTGACGGAAACAACACCTAAACCTTCCCAGAACTAGACGAATACGCCCGATTGAAGCAGAGTATATTTTTCAGCTCTTCCAGTTTATTTAAAGGCAACATTGCCTCCAGTAGAATAACAAAAGAAACATCATGCAAAGAAATTAATTTCTTAAGACGGCGAACAGACGCTTTATTCCCTACTCCTCGAATATTCCATACTATTTGATTACTCATTAGAAACATTTGAAAGAGGATCACCATTGAGTCTCGACGATTTTCGAGTTTCGCCACCTTGAAGCTTTTTATTTTCAACAGAACCTCGAGGTTGCTCAAGTTTTTTCTTTTGGCCTTCTTCTTCTGATTCAACAGCCCTGGAGTTCATGCCCCTCAGTTTGTTTTCCAATATCTAGATCATCCTGCGCAAATTCAAAGCCCACAGCAAGGCGCATCGCATCATGGTCTTGGAGTTCCTCCACTCAGAATCAGGTTCTTCGACCCTGTGCAACGCATTCTCCAGTGTATTAGCAGCACCTTTCTCAGTCTGGTTTGGTGGATCCTCAACCATAGCAGCCAGAACATCGAATCGTGAAGAGAGATTCACCTGCGGAGTATAGAAAGTGAGCTGCTTTCCTAGGGTTTCATCCGATAATGAACCTGTAACTTCTACTTCCCAACAATCTTCTTCAGAGGAATTCTTCTCAATAATTGTACTCAATTGCTCTTTAGTGATCTTTCTGTCAGCTGATGGAAGAGTTTTACTTGGCGTGTTATCAACCACATCAACCAAAATTCTTTCTTTCTCCGCCACTGCGACACCCGATGATGAAGCTTTGTTCCCAATTTCCTCAACAGCCGCAGACTTCAATGGAACCTTATCTTTTTCCTGAGTATTTGACTTTGCTTTCGAAGCTAATTCTCCTTTACCCAGTTTCTCTGTATTGGTGTTAGAAACATCCTTCTGCTTCCAATTAGTTTTGTTTAATGGAACTCTCCCCTTGACAATCTCCGCAGCAGAAACTATTTTAGTTTGATTTTCCGCAACCCTGGCTTTTCTGTGTGCAACTTCAACATCACTTTTTGTCCCTTTTACATGTCGACACTCCAATTCAGAGTGCCCAATTTTTTGGCACTTCAAGCAGTAGTCGGGTAAATTTTCATAAGTGACAGCTTGAAAATATGAATTCCCCGCAGTACCAAGTCGAATCCTCTTCAGGTAAATCATGCAATAAATCTATCTCAACACACACCCTTGCAACCGAGGGAGGCGACATGTTCAAAGTTGGAACGTCAATCTTCAAAGGCGTGCCTATTATTCCGGCCAGTTTACGCATGTAATCCTCATTAAAGCGGTGAATCGATAGTCCCTCAAAAGCCACCCAAACTGGGGCCATAGAAGACTCATGCTTCGGGTTGAATTCCAGTGTCCACTTCAAAACCCTCATAATATGGCTACCAAACATCCAGAGACCTTTGATCCAGCAGCATTGGAAGTCATCTTCTTGATCAAAACAAATCAAGACATCCTGATGATCAAGCATTCCCAATGAGAATTCACCCTTAAACCCTATTTTTCGAAATTGAGCCCACAAGTACTCCATTGAAGGCCTCCCTTCGAGAACTTCCCTATAAGCGCAAGCTTGAATGGTTCTGCCAATTTATCATTCTCCTGCTTTGTTAACAGAACGCGGGCTCCCTTTATAAACTGTTTGATTGGAATGAATAAAAGACTCTTCATTTTCTGGCTTCCCAATGCCTTTTTATATTTCTTGGATTTGGCTTTGCTCCCTTTAAATTTGAACGAAAGATAGATTTTTATCATCCGGCGGCCTTTTGGCCGCCATGTTGGTGTTAGGGTTCGGACAAAGAGTGTTAGAGAGAAAGAAGAGAGAAAATTTTAGAGAGAGAAAATTTAATGCAGCGTATGTGTCGAAGGAGCTCTCTCCGAATAGATCGCTTATCCTGTCTTCTACAAGTTCACCCTGCCTCGGAAGAACATGGCCTTTTCTATAACAGGATAAGCTCTCTTGAGGAAATTATCATGAATATAGATGTAGAGGACGTACATTTAGCTGAAAGTTTGAATTCAAATCTAATATATATACACACGAAATAAGCTGATCAACTTCCAGACTCTTTCGAATACTTACGGAGACATTAACAAAATATGATTTTTATCTGAATACTCATTTGAATTTCGCCAAAACATTTGCAACAACAAACAAAAAGCTAGTTCTGATCCCAGGAATTCTGTGACAATGAATAAGACTGGGTAAAAATCAAAAGAAGGATGGTCCAAACAATAGTTATTCAGCAGCTACAACAAAAGGGCAAATGAGGGGAGACAAAATGAAGAGATTTTTCTGACTAATCTTGTCATTTGTTAGCAAAACACTGAAACTTCTTTACACTGATAGAAATTATAATCAAAATACCACACAAGAACCTTTATCATTTAGAGGGTGCCTAAAACCCAGGAGTGAATACTGGGGTTGCTGAAAAGGAAAAGTTAACCGGAAATGTACCCTGTTAAAAATATTCTGAAAATTTGGAATTTGATCAACAATATTGTGAAAGCCATGTTTTCAGAATATACTTTCCAAAAAAAAAAAAGACTTTCCAAATTTCATTCTTTTCTCAGTCCTACTACAACTCTTTACATTGAAAAAATATTCTATTACTTCAAATAACAAAATTCCTAAGATGTCTTGAGAGGCAACTTCTGTCTATTTGTCAAGAAGGCTCTTAGAGCCTATGACTTGCTAAGGCACTGTTATCACCGATTTTAATTAAAATCGTGTCGGCCCAATAAAAGTGGTGAATCGACTCAATACACCATGTTGCAAGAAGTCCACACTCGACGCGGAGAAGTGGAGTCCATATCCAAATCGGAAAATATGGTGCGTCGAAAGCCCACCTCAACGCGGAGAATACTAAATCCAAATCTAAGACGAATTACAATTGTGGCAGGAAACGTGAAATCGGAAACAAAAGACAATTGTAATTCGGAATCGACAACACCTAATTCGACTAGGAATCGGAGATTGAACCGACTCAAGCGATAACTGATACGTATATAAAGAGAGAGATAGGCCAACGCAAAACACAGAACTCATCATCAACACAAACAAAACACAAGCTGCAAAGCTCTTATCTTTCTTTTACTTCTTCACACCCTATTGTTCTTTTCAGCACTTTCACATAGTCTTTTTATTCGATTTACTCTTTGTAATTGGTTTAGTTCATCAATTTACAAACAATTCAGTCTTTATTCAAGTTATTACAACTTTTACACCCTTTTACTTCACGCCTAGCCGAATATTGCATCTCACGAATTACACTCTTTTGTTTGAAATTATTTGTAAGCGTACATCAGTTTCTACTGATTATTTTTGCACGAACAGGCACAAGCGTGCTAACAAAAAATAATTCGAGACTACCCCCTCTGTTTCATAATTATTATCCAATTTGAGTTTTCATTTTTAGTTCAAATTATACTAAAAGTGAATCTCAAACTGGATAATAATTTTAGGACAGAGGGAGTAATAGAGAACAAACTAAATCCCCGTGAATTATAACCTTAAGTTATTTTTGACACACACTTGTGCCGTTTCTTATCCGCACCAAGCCTTAAGTTTTATGCATTCTCTCTCCAACCACAAAATTTTCTAGACAAGATGGTGAAGTTACCTTCATTCTACTTTTATCAATGCATAGAATTAGCAATGTCTTTGCAACGCCATCAGTCACTCTAAGTGGCCCAAGGATCAGACCAAACCGTCAAATGATTGTTAGATTCACCTTTACCATCTGAAAAACAAGCACCGCATTTTTCGTAAAATGTAAATATATTGATATGCTACAAAAAGTTCATACTTACAACCAAATAACTACCATTTTCTAACTACTTGTGCTATTTCTTATCCGCACAAAGGCTTTTTCTTCAAAATTGTTTGATGCTCTCGGCATTGTTCTGGACTCCATCTTGTAATCATTCTCTCTTTAACTACAAAATTTTCTAGACAAGATGGTGAAGTTACCTCCGTTCTACTTTTATCAATGCATAGAATTAATAAATGAAAAGATGGTGACTTATTTTGTCAGTAAAAAATTAATGGTGACCAGAAATTGTGACCCCCCATAGTATAGGGGCCAAAAGTGTGTTTTGTCCTTTAATATATTCATTTTTACCAGCCTGTCCCTAGTGAGCAGCATGTTTTGCCAAAACAACCATAAGGGCATCTTTAATGGTGAATCTATAAACACACAAAAGCAGCCCCACCCACTATTAAAATATAACTAGTTAAGTCATACGCGCTTCGCGCGTGCCCTCAATCATAATAGAAATACAGTAAAGCGATAACTGTAAAAACGGGAAATGATGAGTAAATAAAATCGAAGTTGTTGTATAGTTTTATTAATGTCTATAATCAATTTTGCTAAAAATTAAAAAAAAAAAATTGAGAAGGAAAGACATTTGATTGCTCTGTATATAAACTCTAAATATTTATTGAATGAGGAGGCTAAAAAGCCTTACATTATATTATTATAAAATTCCTTAAATAATCTTCCAAAACAGTGCATCAGTCACCTTTTAAACCACACCAATGAGCAACCGAAAGTGTAATGATGATGCAAACTAGTTCTAGAATTCAGAAAATAGAGGAGAGGAACAAATCATGTGGTAAATACTTATTCACTACTTAAGTACGATAAGTAACATAGGTAAATGTTATGTAGAAATGGTTTAGAGCCTTAGAATAAATTAGAGGAAAAAAAAATTATAATCTAGAATTTTACGTTGCACACATATGTTTAACCAAAGAAATAAGACAACAACAGCACACGATGCTGCTTAATATGAACTGGAAAGTGCAAATAAACCATTTATATATATAGGGAAGCAAATTTCTCTTCCGATTGCTTAGCAAGCATTAGTCTTACCTCTTGGGGATTCACGAAATGGTCGATGCCTCATGTGGTCTTCTTATGATCAATTGAAAAGAATCTTGTGCTACACCAATCTTAAAGAGAAGAGTAAAACAGAGTAGACAACAACAAAGAGGTGAATGTCATAATGCATAGATTTGTTTATATTTTAGAGAAATTTATTGCATATTAGAACCCATTAAACAACTTGGAAGAAGACAAATGGGCAATATAATTAATAGAGGAGGCTAATTGATCTTTTATCCTTCGGTTACTATTGAGGAGATTAACTAAAGGTAATAAAATTGAACTTAAATGCAAATTAAACCACCCATTTCATTCACTAATAAATTTTTCATTTCGTTTACACGTGTGATATTATACTACTACCAAAAACATACACATGAAAAGGGAGAAACTCCCTTTTATATATATAGTTGATAAGTTGGAGCAAGTTTTAATATTTTTTACTTTTTCTGAAAGGATAGCCCCATCACTTGTCTCTCTTCATCCGTTAATGAGCATAAACTTTGCTTCTATAAACTGAACACCACAATGATTCTCTTCTCATAAACTGCTAATAAACGGTTGGTAAACTAACCATTAGAGAAGCCCTAAGATGAAAAAATGTTTGGAAACATTAAATCTCTCCCATATGAACACAACTGTAGGTATTTCATCAACACTGCCAACCAGCTAGTTATACCTTGATGTAAGAGAGTATTTACCTGATGATGTGTGCTTCCACCTTAGTCCTTCAAATTCATCTTTCCTATTTCTCATTGATATTCAACAGTCTTCTCTAGTGCCAACTGGAACTCTGCTTAGGTTGTATCTGCCATAAGTTCTACTGCTATATATATATATATATATATATATATATATATACTATTCATGGATCCACCAATTATCCTCTTTGACTGCACTACAACAAATTTGCTTTATTAAAGCTGTTTCATTCTAGACTCGAAGATTTCTTATATTTAGATCTCATTCTTTATTTCTTCTGCAAACTTTGTCCAACTGACCAGTATTAAACTTCTACCTGTTTCCTAATGCTTGAAAGAAAACACATGCATAATCTGTTTACTTGCTGAGTGACACTATGAGGTAAAATAAAGACAGAATCCCAAAAATTGTTCTTTGCCATTAAGACTGAATTCACTAATTCCAGCTTTCCAGTGTAATTAAGATGTTTTGTACTCCAGCATCTGATTTTTTCAGCAATCTTCTGGATTAGCATCTCACAATTAGCTGATTCCATTTCTTTGGAGATATAGGAACCCTTAGATACATGATTAGAAATGTCCCCGTTCTAAATCCTGTTAATCTGCATAGCTGGCCCTTCAACTCTTCCGAAACTTCTCCTAAAAAATTTCTGATTAGCTTGATTAGCTACTAAACTAGTAGTACCAAAGAACCTTTTCAGTACCTCCATAATTTTAGAATCAACCCAAATGTTGTTTAACTTTAGTCCTTTACACTGTGATGGTATTGCAACTTCTTATCAGTAGCAACTTCTGTCTTGAGTCTTGTAAGATACTCCATTACCAACACAAACAACAAAGGGGTTATGTTGTCACCTTGTCTCAAACCCCTTTTTTCCCTGAAAATAACCACAATTTTCCTCATTTAAAGCAAGGGAGAATGAGAGAGTCTTGACACATTCTAGCACTTTCTGAGAAAAAGACAGAGGGAATCCAAAACCATAGCATCTTTGATGCAGTAGCGGAAGCCCAATTTTTAGAACGAACAAAGAACCCTAAATCGAATCGTTGAAAGCCATTGATTTGACGCATGAATACCTAGCAATCAACTTACTCAAGAACCATTTAGTCTAAGAATACGTTGATCTTAAGGACCAAAGTTTAACTCACCTTGGGATTTTCTGAGACAAATCTCAATTTTCAATATTCACCAAAAGCCCAAATTACAGTGATGGCGGCTACGCCATTTAAATAGAAAATGGTAAAATAAAATCCTACCCAATCTAACATAAAATGACAAAACTACCCATAAAATAAAGCCTAATTATTAACCCCTTCCTCTTCATCTCTCTCGGGTTGAGAAAAAACTCGTCCTTAAGTTTAGGTGGAAGTTTCCCCCAATCAAAAGGATAGCCAGCTGATTGTCGCCATGGACTGCTACCTTTGGTTTTCACTAAACCACTAAAAGAAGTCAGCAACACATCCCAAATCATCGTCATCCAAATGTAATTTAAGTAGCTTGCCGAATACATGAATCTTGGGACTCCACCTAATATTCATCAAAAGTCCAAATTACAATGATGGCGGCTACGCCATTTAAATAGAAAATGGTAAAATAAAATCCTAACCAATCCAACATAAAATGACAAAACTACCCATAAAATAAAACCTAATTATTAACCCCTTTAATAGAAAAAGAAGGATAAAAATAAACCCTAAAATCCTTAATTAAAGAAAAGTCAAAATATAAATAAAACCGTAATTTCTATCCGCATCAATCTCCTCTATAAAACTCCACTTTGCTGAATCATAAGCTTCTTTGATATCAATCTTTAAAAAACATCTGCCACTAATGTTTTTTCTAACATGCTATTTAATCAAGTACTGAGTAAGTAATATGTTGTAACGGATTAACCTGTTACTTACAAAGGCACTCTAATGTTTATCTACAAACTCTGTTAAAACAGAATCCAATATTTCACATATAATTTTTGAAATGTATTTATAGATCACATTGGAACAAGCAATGGGTTTATATTTAGCAGCATTTTGTTGGGAATTATTCTTAGGTATAAGTGCTAGAAGTGTCGAATTTACCTGCTTGAGTAGTTGTCCATGCTCAAAAAACTCCATCACAGCCTTGATGACATCCTCTTTAATCACTGGTCATGCTCCCTAATAAAAATCACTCCCAGATCCATCCAAGCGTGGACTCTTGCAACTGTGGATACCCTAAATTGCTTCTTTCACTTCATGAGAAACCACATTCCTGATTAGACTCACTTGTTGCTTCCAGTCCAACACATACCCGTTTCTATCTGAGCTCATTGTCTGCCGCTATTCTGACCCAACTGGTTTTGAAAAAAAGTTGATGTAGTGATCTATAACAATTGGTCAATCAGTAAGCACTTCTCCATCTTCCTTGACAATTGAGGAAATCCTATTTCTCATAACCCTAATTCTCATTTTTGCATGAAAAAAAGAAGTGTGTGAATTCTCCTATTTCACCCATAACTTTTATATCTTTTGTTGTGAGAAACTTTCATAAGCCCTACTGATTTGTATATATTCTCTATACAACTCTCTTTCTTGGTTCAATAATTTTAATCTGCTCCATTTCCATTTATCATGTCCTTAACATTTTCCAGTGCTAATCTGAGTCTTTCAACCTTATGAATATCCAAAAATTGAGTTCTATTCAGGTGCTTCAAGATACGCTTCAATCTTTTGAGTTTAGTAACTACTTGGCATATATAGGTTCCCTTCACAAAAGCAGTCCACACGAGCCACTCACAAATTTTAAAAAATCCTTTGATTGACACCACATATATAAAGAACCCATATGGTTTAAGTCTATGGATATAACTCTCCTGTCATTTGTACAAGTAGAGGGGAATGATGTGATATTCCTTCCACCATAACAATGAGAGAAGAGTTAGGATACTCCATTACCTAGTATCCATTGACCAAGGGTCTATCAATCTTAAAGCAAATTCTCCCAACTCCTATCTATTTATTTGGCCATGTATATTTAAGACCCTGTTGTTTCAAGTCTTGCAGTTCACACAAGTCTACGTACCTTTGCAACCCTAATATTTCATTAAGGTCACTTGATTCCCACCCACTCTTTCATCCATAGCTAGTACATTGTTATAATCTCCCATAGCCAACCAACTGTTACTAATACTCGGGGCCAATATTATCATATCCTCCCATAGTTGAATCTTTTCATCTTGACTATTACATCCATAAATAGCACTGTAGAAGAAACCCTCTTTGCTACTAACAACTTCTACCCAACAGTGAAAAAATTGGTTTCCTTTCTGTATTATATTCACTTGTATACATCACGGATTCCAAATCATCAATTTTTTTCCCTTTTCCCGATTAATACTATTACCACAACATTCAAATCCTAACCAATGTTTACTCATCATGTCTACTATTCTACTAGTCTCCAATTAAGCTTCAGCTAGGCTTATCAGTTTGACATTATGCATAGTACTAAGTCATGTAACTTCTTTTTGCTTTAGAGGTCTATTTAAGCCCTTAGTATTCCAATTTAAAAAGCTTGTCATATGGATATACCTAGATCAATAGGGTTATGACTCCTAGCATTTCCCTTCTACAACTCCATGTCTTCCGTCTCTAGTTGCAAATACTCTGATGCATTCTTTGCCACTTATTCCTTCTTCATCATCTATTCCAGTAAGCACAGTAAAACCATTGGATACTTCAATCTATTTTTCTCTAATTAGAGATCGTATTACATCCTTCTGATTTTTGCTACTGATTATCTTGTCATTCTCATGCACTATGTTCTCCTCATCTATAGTTTTTTCATTCTTGTTTACCCTTCTCCATTCAAACACCTTGTTCTTTTTTCCCCTGTTCTTCTTTACCTTTCTTATCATCATCATTATCATTGCTTTCTTCCTATAGTCTTCCTCCCCATGGTTGAAATTTTTACAGTATTTGTACTGCGTTGGTCTCCATTTGTAATTCACCCCATGTTCAGCTTATCTGCCATTTTCATCCTCAAAATAAGAGACTGTAAGTGGCTTGTCTCTTATCCACATCCACCAGTACATGTGCAAAGTTGCTTCACCTCTCTCATCTATAAAGGCATTAGTGGCAATAGGTTGTCCTAAATTACTTACAATACGGTTTAAAGTTGCCGGATTCCAAAACTTGGGTTCAAGTCTAGGTAACTGAATCCATACCTGAACATGCTTAACTTCTTTGTTGATTGACCCCTTCTCCACCTCCCACGGTTTGACAACTACTGGATTAGAACCCGGATAGTTGGTCGGCTCTGCTAAAGCTTCAAGATCCAGTATCTTATCTATGTTCAAGTGCTTCCAAAATCTTTGATAATAGGTGTCCATCACTTTGAATAGTTGATTAACCCCTAGCACAAAACTGATCACAAAAGATCCCCAGTATTTCAGTCAGTAAAAAAAATTGAACATCAGGCTTGTGAACAACGGCAACCATTAATCCATCTTGTTCCTCCGGCTCCTCAAATTCCAGCGGCATACCACCCTTTCGTAGCTTCTTAAAATCAAAAGATTCCTAACTTGACACTTTTTCTTGCTTCTCACAAATTCGCCGCAGACCATTCTAATTTTCTAACAGTTTGATGCAAAGATCTCGCTCAACTTTTTTGCTTGACCCCTCAAATCCTCTTCTACTCTGAAATTAATTCAATCTTTACCGGACTTCAGCCTATCTGTCTCAATCCCAATCCTAAATGAACTTTTCCAAATTGTAGTTCTTTCTTTTGTTCAACAATTCTCCTCAAAATCTTCGATGAAATTGATAGGAACTCATTTGCCTTTTCAATTACAGGTTTTTTTTGCACTTCCGTATCCTTAGTTTTCCTCTTAGTCATGGCTTGCGCATATTAACAAGTATTGCTTAATATGTTTGCTTATTGTGCGCCGAGAGGAGGGGAATGGAGAGAGAGATTAAAAAATAATTTTTTTTTAGGTCCGTCCATTTTGATCAATATAATTATATAACTTATGTGATTCACCAAAAAAAATCAAAAAAAAAAAAAAAAACTATTTGTGTAATTTACTCGAGCTGATTATGATCATCACTACGAACTCGGTTAGACCATTACAGGTTCGAGCCAGGCTCTGTGCAGTTCGGTTTACACTTCACACCTACGTGGTGAAGCCAGTCTTTATCGGTTTCCTCTCTCTCACTTGTCTGAATTAGCAGTTGAAAATGGTGACCGGCGCCGCCAAACTACTAGTCTCTGCCGGCGCTGACCACCCTGCTCTCTGTCTCAGTTCCGCTAAAAGCAACGCATTCCGCTCTTCATCTTCTCCATCATCGTCAGCTTCTCTGCAGCCGAGCAGAGTTCAATTCGCCGTCGTTAATGTCAGCAGCAACTCCCCAAACCCTCGCTCGCTCAGGCTTTGCTCCGCCGCCGTGTCTTCCTCCGTGAGCGAAGTGAAGTCTTCCTCAGTTCCTTTTCTTGACCATAAGGAGACCAACATCCTTCACTTCGTCAAGTACCACGGCCTCGGAAATGACTTCATTTTGGTACAATGGTTTTCATTCAATTTAATTTGTATTATTTTCTTGGCTTAATATGGATTGCATTGAATCTGAATTGTTGTTACTATTGTCTCTTTTTTTTTTGGTGTATGATTGTTGAGTAGGTTGATAATCGAGATTCTACTGTGCCCAAAATCACTTCAGAGCAAGCGGTTAAATTGTGCGACCGTAACTTTGGGATTGGTGCAGATGGAGTCATATTTGCGTTGCCAGGAATCAATGGGACTGATTATACCATGAGGATTTTCAATTCGGATGGTAGTGAGCCGGAGGTGACTTCATTCTTCTTCATTTTTTCAAAAAGCTTTTCTCTGTTTCTTGTCTGATTTTGTTTCTCCGGGTTTATCTACATTCAGATTTTAGGCTGAAAATGGAGGATCAGAAAAAACCATAGTGCGGTCATGAGCATACTGACAAGTTTCATTACACTTCTGATTTTCAGTTTCTCATTCCACTTTCATGCCCGCTGAATCTTCGTATAAAGAATCAAATCTTGCTCTTTAGGTTAAATAGAACACAGACTCAAATCATTTTTGGAAAGATGTTCTGTTATCCAAAGAATAGAAGCTTGAAGTGAAAAGCAAATACTACTTCCTTATGATCTGTTAAATTTGATTAAGTAATAAAAATATGCTCGCAGTCCTTCAGTAATGTGTATTTTCTTATCTTAGAGTGATGCAAAACTTCATACGAGTTTTATACTCTGTTCACATGCCTTTTTTGTGGTTTGTTGGGTTCAAAAAGGTCGTCGGCGCTTGTCTAAATCAGTAATGAGCCATTTGTGGTGTGAAGAATTATGTAATACCAAGATGTCTAAAGTGATCACCCTCATAGTAGCAGTTCACATAGTTTCCTGCTTATCTTTGCTGAAGATGATTGGTTAATGGATTTGCACTGGTTGTGTTGCTCCAACCCTCTAGAAAATTACTTATCTCTACTGTTGGGTAGATGGAACAGAACACAGTAACCATTATGACTACGGAAAGAAGAAAATTGTGCACTACATTTTAGTGTTACAATGATCCTACATGATGCACTGATTTGGCTTCTCATATTGTTGATGACTCACTTTTGGCCTTTTGATTGCATACTCTTCTAGTTTGATGCTTTGACATTTGGTGGGATCTCCTTCTCACAGGGTATTTTGTTCCTTGTAGATGTGTGGCAATGGGATCAGATGCTTAGCAAAATTTATTTCTGAGCTTGAAAATTCTCAAGGCAAGCAAAGGTGTGATTCTTTTTATTGTAAGGATAAAGGATATACTTGTCACATCTCTGATTTATTTCGTTTATATTCATTGTCGTGTTAGTAGGGTAATGGTAATGCTGCATAATTGGTGTGCTAAACTGATTGCTAATGTTTGGCAAGCTTTTTGCTACCCTTTAGAACTTCTTTTGGTGGATGTAGCCACAAAGAATACGTTTTTGCCATTATGAAGTGCTACATTATTATAGAGATCAATCTATTGGATGCATTATCTTTTCAAGATTTTTTGATGCTTTTCTTATTCTATTATGGAATCATCAATTTATCACATTACTCCATTCTCAGCTTTTGTTTTGTTTAGATAGTTCTGGCTTTTGGGCTGGAATTCTGGTAGCTTGGTGTTTGCCTTTCATGCATAATCTACTACATGAAATACTGCTACATTTTTTCAGTCTTGCAAACATAACTTCCTCTCATCCTTCAGGGAGTATGGTGACCTTTTTTTGTTGGGTTTTGTTTTACCCTAAGCTTGAATTTCTATCTCCAGACTATTTGATTGGCATGGAAGTTACAATATGATGTGGATATTAATGTAGTATTTCCTTCACATCCTCATTTAATTTGTCTACGTGAGGTATTTCCTTTTCTTTTTGGTGTGTGGGTGTGCATGTGTATTTTGACACCTTCTCTCTTTGGCAGTTACACTATACATACTGATGCTGGCCTAATTGTTCCTGAAATTCAAGAAGATGGTCAGGTATGTACTGTCGCTTGGCACACAGTTTTTATATTGTGCCTTTTGGTTCATGCATTTTGGGATTCAAAAAGGAAAAACTTGAGGTATATTATCTTTGTTACTTGAAAAGCCTGTTTGCTTTCTCAATTCAGGTTAGAGTTGACATGGGCGAGCCAATTTTGAAGGCATCAGATGTCCCGACAAGGTTGCTGCCAAATAAGGATCAATCAGTTGTGAAATGTAAATTGGATGTGGATGGAGTATCTTGGAGTGCAACGTGTGTTAGCATGGGAAATCCTCACTGTGTTATTTTCGGTACGAATTCAAGCGAGGTATATTATCTCTTTTATGACTTAAAAATATTAATGTTGTAATCTTTTAATATAACTTTGCTGGCTAGACTAATGTCGGTCTTAGTTAATGGAAAGCAGAGAATATGTTGATGAATTGTTCTCCAGGACAGTATGAAGTTGGAATTGCGTAAACATGAAGCAGAAAATTTGCTAATTCTAAAAGTGAATCTTTTAGCTTTATTCAATTCTCAACTTCAGCGGTTTTAAAGCAGTAGCAGTTTTCTCTATCATCATCTTACACGTCTGTATTTGTATACCAAACAGAATTTGGAAGTTGATGAATTGAACCTGGCAGAAATAGGTCCAAAGTTTGAACATCATGTTATGTTCCCGGCCAGAACCAACACAGGTCGGTGCTATTGCTAAATTTTCATTATACTTGGATCCTTATAATCTCATGGACTAGTTACTTTAATTTGCACGTATTAGGAAATCGTGTAACTGAAAGTTCTGCAGTTCATGAGAATTTTTATCTCTTTCAGCTACTTGAGTTCGTTATTATTTTCTTTGTTTTGACTGTGGTTATAGAATGAGCAGTGGCTATTATCGAGTCACACTGATCGGATTCTCATCCTTTTGTTTCGGATTGCAGAGTTTGTGCAAGTGTTTTCTCCTATGCACCTTAAAATGCGTGTTTGGGAACGTGGCGCTGGTTAGTTTTTTTGCTTTTTACTTGGGAGAATTACATGTTCAGCTGGTCATTTTTCCTTTTCCTCTTTTTTGGGGTTAAAAGCAAACTTCAGAGGGGGCCCTAGTTTTTACAGCTCTGACTAACAGCTTTGTTCTCTAATATTATTACGTCAATGAAGCTCGGCTCCTCAGGGCAACATTAGGAAAAAAAAAATACATAAAGAAAAATAGTGAACTTGCTCCGTCGGTGGGGTTTTATTTTTAAATTAAGAGTAAACTTGCTTCATCTGTTATATGTTTGGTGTAGATTGAACCCAAAGCTTCCAAATGTCCAGTTGTTCTGAAGTTTGAGGTTTTGCTTCTATAGGGGCTACTCTAGCTTGTGGAACCGGTGCTTGTGCAGTAGTTGTCGCGGCAGTGCTTGAAGGTCGTGCAGGGAGGGTAAGAAATCTGGTCCCAATTGTCATGCGGCCTGATACATAAATCTTGATAATCTGCTCCCAATATTTCTATTTAATCTTGATAATTTCATTTTTTATGGTTCAGGCGTGTAGGGTGGATTTACCTGGAGGACCATTGCAAATTGAGTGGAGAGAAGAAAATAACCATGTCTACATGACTGGCCCCGCAGAGGTGGTGTTCACCGGCTCAGTTCCCCTGTAACCCTTGTTCAAATGTGGTGGGAGCACCAACCCACCCTCTTTGTTCCCCAAGTGACCTCGTTGTGCTTGATGTCCTGATTGGGGCCTCTTTAGCATATCAAGGATGCAAAAAAGTTGTTTGGATTTCTGTTTCTCAAGCTTGGTGGTTTCAAAGGAAAATGCCTGTAATCTGTATGGCAGGTAGAAATTGTGCTCATTTTTATCGACGTTATTTGGGGTCTTCTGGTGGGGGCATATTAGTTAGCCTTTCAGCCTTTTTCTTTTGGTAATTCCCGGGAAAGAGAATAATTGCTGTCTCTAAACTTTTAGTTTGTCTTCTTAACCTTTTGAAAGGAAGGGTTGATTTTTTTTTTTTAATATAATTATGTGTCTTTTGTTTGATTGATTTTGTTTAGAACATTTTAAGACACGCTCCCTCTATAAGGCTTTGCATTCAGATGGTAGAAAAGTCTTTTATTCCAAAAGGTACACTGTTCCTAGAATAAGGCTGTGTCCTCGACATTTCTGGATTGCTGCAGCCTTTATGTGTAAAATAAAATATGACCTTGATGACCAAGGAAAGTGAAACCTAATACTATTAAACAAGAATCTTCCATTAAAATTATTGAAAGTTCACAAGAAGTATATGCAACTTTAGTTTAGCATTAGGATGACACAATCAATCTTTCTCAAATCGTACCACTAGACATAAAACTCAAAAGATGTAGATTACATACATATGTAACCGAATTCGACACATTTTGGTGAGGGCCGTTTTAAGCCGTTCTCTTATTGGAAGCCTCCCATTCTCTATAACAATAAAACCATCCGTTATGCAATCTCTCTCTAAAGAAACATTGTACACATTAAGTTTTAAAATTTAACACAGAGAGAGTAAATGTCAAATTTTAAAAATCGATGTGGACTAATTTTTTTAGGACATAGAGAGTATAAACATCCCTCTTTTGATATGTATTGAGACGGAAGTATCATTGCTTTTTCCAAAATTGACACACCAGTTTGCAATCAAGCTGTAGTAGAATTGGCGAAGCGTTGGGGTAGAATCCACAACAAGTCTTCAATTGCAGTCAGCTCTAAACGGATCAAATGTGTAAATGTAGCCAAAGAATTGGAACGCCACTACACCAACAAAGGGAAAAGTATTGGTAAATAATAGAAGAGAGAGTATAATGTGAACATTCATGGTAATCAAGTCCAAGATGATCAAGGTGTTCGGGTTCCAAGTACTATCCAAGCTCAAGGAGTGGTTCAAGAACCATTATCCAACTTTGGAGACCAAATGACTCAAGCTAGAAGTAAAAGGATGAAAAGTGCACTTAATAATCTTATATCAAATGATTTATTTAGCCCAAGAGAATGTCAAGTCTGGAAGTTACAAGCCCAAGATTATTAATGTGTTACAAGGCCCATTTGAGGAAGGAAATTTCGGCCCACAAACCAAGCAAGGGAGGCCGGCTCCATCTCCTAATTTTTAGGAGTTAGAATCTCTATCTTATAGGGATAAAATCATTTAAATCTTATCACACTTGTGGAATGATAAGATTTGAAATATTTCCTATCTTTTAAAGATAAGATCATTTAAATCTTATCACATGGAATGATAAGATTTCATATGATTCTCTTTTATCTAATTTAGAGTTTATTCAAAATAAGAAGTCTATTCATTGGTGTCTACTCTCTACCGTTGGATGAAGATTAGATCAAGATTGGATGGCTATGATTACTCTACAAAGAAGATATTGATAGAGTTGACAATTCAGGAAGATTCTTTTCAAGATAAGGAGAAGATTCTTTTGAGAGAATATCTCTTTGTATTTGGAGTTTTATTTTCATTAGACTAGTGTTTCTTAAGTCTATAAAGGTGTCTAGATACATTGGCTTCTTAGACAAGACACAAATTGTCAATTAGAGGTTAAGTTGATTTTTAGTTCTTTAAAGTAAGAATAGAGTTAGAGATCAAACTCTTCTCCAAATTGTTAGGAGAATTTTCGACCCCTCTACTATATATAAATAGGGGTGCTTGGCCAGTATTTTAATGATACCTTTTGATGAATTTGATATTTCAATACGAGACGAGAGGAAATTATTTGTTCTTTTTCTATTCTTTTCGAAGACTAGTTGCATTGCACACAAGCTTGTGATTTGTTGATACATGCGAGTAGAATATGTGTTTTTCTACTTGTGGACCTTTGTTAGTTGTTCATTGGAGCCTTTTTGCTAGCCATTCTATCCATAAATCGAAGAGATAGGGTTGTTAGAGAGGTGGCCGATTCGGTTACTAGCCTTAAACACTTTCTACATCTTCTAAACCTTTCCATCCCATTTTGGTATAAATTTTTGTGGTTTGCATCTCTTCTTTTCTTTTATTTTTCGTGAGTTGTGGAGTCCATAATATTGGATTCTCAAGTTTTCAAGTCCAGGGATATTCATACCTTCCGCGTTGAGGTAAATCTGCCATCTTTGCCTCAAGATTTGTATCAGAGTACACTATCATTATCAGCATCTACTAGATAAAAAGCAACAAGATACAAACTTATCTTTGAACTTTTACCTTTAGAAACTTCTTTCAGAAGTATAGCTCTTTGAATTTGTTGAATTCTTGCAAAAGTTGGAAATGCCATTGATTTCTGATGTCACGGGATGACCGCATCTAGTTGGACACTCCGAAGTACTGAAGATGTGGATCATCATCAATATTAATATGCTTTAGTCCCTTATAAAAACCAGTTGTTAATGCGATCCTTTTTTGGGATAGTACGAATATTTCAAGTGGAATAACTTTGAGATTAGGAAGAGAAACCAATTTGGGAATCTTCAACATAATCTTCCATCGCCATAGTTTCAAGACTTGTAAAGAGATTCCGACACAAAAGTCGATGATGGAGGGCACAAAAGGAGGACTGCTGTCTTCTTTATCATATGTACATCAATATCAAGAATATGTATGTTACGCAAAAATAGTGTACAAGGCCATAAGATTGCTCGTCCATTCTTCAGGTGTCTCTTTGCATTTCAATTGAAACTCTATGTCATGGAGTATGTTTCACCCAATGAATGGACTAGCTAAAAATAAAAAAGAAACTATCACATTCAAAACCGAATTACTCCCTGTTGGAAATGAGTAGTAAGTGAATGAGAATTAAGTTTCTCAAGAGTTGGAAAAATAGAGTTAAGATTAAGGGACTTTGTCTCACATTGGTGTGGGGAAGAGTTGGAGCTCACTTTATAAGTGAGAACCCAAAATTGACTTGCAAGTTGACTTACCAATACTATATCACATCTCTCCCGCTCGCGTGCGCCCGCGTAGGGGGGTGCAAATGGAGGTCCGATTCGGGGCCAAAATAACTTGACTCATGTGTGCGCACGACCTGCAGACACGAATACCGAACCGAACTCTCACGGGCCTGATCAACCCACGTTTTGCTCCGGTTCGAATTAATTTTTTCCAGCTAAATTTTAAATGGAGAATTATATTCATTCATTTCAGTCAAAATGAAACTGAAACGTTGCAATTGTTTTGCTGTCATGAAAGATCAGAATGAATTGGCAGATTTAATTATATTAAAAGGCAGAAATGAATTCATTTGACTGTTGGGCTGATCAAAAATGTTTTGGAGGTTTTGTGCCATGAATTCTCTTCATTTAACAGAATTAAAATGTCGAAATCGTTACAAGGTTTGCTGCCATTTGAAAGGTTTCTCCAGCCTATAAATAGGCACTCATTTTCCAAAATTTAACACACTTTTTCTCCCATCTCTTCTCAGATTCTTTTGAGCCTTTCTTTCCTTCCAATTTTTGGCGTTCATCAATTTGTTTTAAGTTCTAGTTCGCTTGTAGAGTTACTTTTGTGCTAAGTAGTCTCTGTGTTTCCGTTGTATCCTGGGAAACAGTTACTCGAGATCCTCAAGCACCTTAAGAGGGGGCAAATCTGTTTTAAAGAGACCGTGTTTTCACGAGCCTCGAATTTTTCCTATTCTGATTTTCTTTAGCCTTTGCGAATACTCTTCGTATGTTTCCCAACAATCTTAAAACAAATTTTCTTTGTTCATTGTGTATTCGTGATGGCTGATGCTCAGAAGGTTGATTATGGTGGTGCAATTGTTACTAGCGCTACTCCCGCTGCTGATGTGCCCGGTGTTACTATTGTTCCTGGGGTTGCGAGTTGTGCTGCTGTTCCCGTTGTGCCCAATGTCTCAACTAGCCACATGGAGCAGCCGGAAAAGTTCAATGCAATGACAATGACTTTCAAGGTTTGGCAACAAAAGATATTGTTCTACCTGATGACGCTAAACTTGGCGGGTTTCTTGACTGGTGTAGCTCCTCTGGTGCCTGAAGGAACTTCTGACGCACCAACTGCTCATGCATATGAGTCGTGGAAACGGTCAGATTTTCTTTGCCGTGGTTATATTTTGAATACTATTCATGATTCATTATATAATTTGTATGGAAAGTTTAAAATGGCTAAGGATTTATGGGAATTCATAGACCGGAAACATAAATCGGAGGATGCCGGCTCAAAGAAATTCGTAGACGAATGGTTCCTTGATTATGTGATGGTCGATTCCTAGACTGTTTATAATCAAGTGTAAGAGATCCAGCTAATTCCACACGACATCCAGGCTGAGGGGGTGATTTTGAGTGAAACTTTCTAAGTGGCTGCGATCATTGAAAACTTGCCTCCGGGTTGGAAGGATTTCAAGAACTACCTCAAGCACAAGCACAAGGAGATGTCTTGGATGATCTAATTGTTAAGCTTCGCATTGAAGAAGATAACAGGAAATCAGAATCAAAGGCGTCCAATGGCGTATAGGCTAAGGTCAATATTGTAGAGCATGGTAAAGGCCAAAACTCGAAGAACAAGGCCAAGAGCAAGAATGCCAACAAAGGCAAGGGAAAGCTAGGGACTACTGGTGGTGTCTCAAAGCAGAAGCACAGATTCAAAGGTAATTGTTTTAATTGTGGAAAACCAGGTCACAGGTCTGCTGATTGCCGCTCCCCAAA